CTGATAGAAAGTTCTTCCCAGAGCTCTTTTCTGGTATGTTTAACATACTAAATGCTGAGGCTCTGCATTGAAAGATTAAAGCATATGAATCAAGAATATTGCAATTCTCTTAAGCAGATTTAATTTTCAGAATTTATAACTATTATATATGTGTTGAAGTGTGACATATTTGCACTTAAGAAATAAATGCATGTATTCTGAAAAAAATTTTTTTCTTTCATTTATTTACTGTATAGTTTATTTTCTATTTCATTTATTTCTGCTCAAATCTTTATTATTTCTTTTCTCCTGCATTTTTTTAAATTTTTCTGTTGTTTTTCCAGTTCCCTGAGGCATGATGTAAGGTTGTCCTTTTACCACCTTTTCATCTTTTTCTTGTGCATACTAATTGCTATGAACTTTCCTCTTATGACTGTTTTTGCAGTGTCCCATAAATTATGGAAATTTTTGTACTCATTCTCATATTTTTCCATGAATCATTTTATTTCAGTCTTAATTTCTTCAGTAGTCATGAAGTTATTCAGAAGTAGGTTATTTAGTTTCAATATACTTGTGTATCTACAAGGGTTTTTTTTTTTTTTTCAATGTCTTGACAGATCTTACCAGTTTTTGTCAGAGTAACGGCAAATGGACAGAGGCCCCATATGTTCAGGCTCTTTGGAATCTGTGCTCTCACCCCCACCTCTGTATTACCTGCTCTCCCTCCCAGATTTTGCTTGCTAAGGTGGACAAGGGCCAAAAATCCACTCCTAGCCTTTCCAAGGAAACTTCTGAACTCCCTGAATCCACTGGGTTCACTCTTCCCCTGGAATTTCTCACCACTCTGCTGAGACCCTCTCCTGACTCCTCATTAAACTTTCCCAAACCCTCTGTTTCCCCATGTTCCTATCCTCGAGTTCAGATATCATACACAGGCCTATAACCTCACCTGGCATGATGTCCACATAATTACGACATTCACCCATGACTGGGTACAGGGTGGCAGAAAGAGAGTATGCTGACAGGGCCCACACTGCTGAAGCCACTACAGTGGTACTTACTGAGGCAATCCCTGCAGTTGATCTCAGTTGGAGATATTATGAAGATGACCCTGGCCGCTGGCATCACGACTACATGTTCCAACGCCTTACGGCAAGGATAGAACAAGCAGCCCAAAAGGTAGTAAATTATGCACTGAGTCTTCTCTAGGCAGTGGATAAAGGCTGAGCAGTAAAAAAGAAAAGTAAGTTATAGAAAAAGAAAGTAGGAAATAGAAATAGGAAGAAAAGGTAAAGAAAACAGAAGGAAAGAACTAGAAAAAAAGAAGTTAAAAAAAAAACAGAAATCACGTTGTGGGTAATGAAATTGGGTTAAAAATTGAAAACCATGTGACTCACAAGCGTACCTCATGAAGGACCAACAAAGACAGAGGTGGAAATGCCTGGATGCTTTCTGTCCTAGTTGAGGTAAAAGGAGATAAATTAGCAAGAGAAAGGCACAAATAGGGCAGAAAGCTGGATTTTTAAAAAAAAAAAAAAGAAAGAAAGAAAGTTGGAAGTGACACAGAAGATCAAGAGGGAGAGAGATACTTGAATATCTGACTAGCACTGGGGTCTGGAAGGGTGGACCCTGGCTGGGGTGGAGGGCTTCACAGTCATGAAGCTAAACTCAAAAGGCCAATACCGAGACCAGCAATTAGTGTAATGGCTATGTCACTGGACTCCCATGTAGTTGACTGCGGTTCGAGTCCCAGACCCAGTGGCTTAAACTCACGCTGGGTGCATATGCATGTGTGTCCAAGATCCCAAGATGAGGCGAGTGCACACGCCCTATAACAAAAGGCCAATACCAAAACTGATTTTCATAAAACTCAATTTTTTATCTCTTATGGTTCAGTTACAGGACTACTGGCTAAAAACAATGAAAAGTACATCTTATATGATATGATAACGATTTTTATATGTGATCCCTATGTTAGTCTTTGTGTTGTTTTGTTTATCTCTGAAAGTCTTATCAGGCTGCTCTAGTCTGCCATATATTTTGTTTTAGGTTTAGTGCCAACAAACGCTGAGTTAATCCCTTTTCATCTCCAAGGTGTTTGGAAAACATTTAACTTTCATTTTCCACTGACAGTTAAGTCAAATATTTAAACTTTTTGCTATCTTTGACAAGGTTTCCCCAAAATCAAATTCTAAATTAAGTTCTTTTGACTTCAAAATAACTTTTGGATATTTACAGACAGTCCCTGAAACATCCAAAAGAGAGCTATTACAACCAATCATGCTTGTTTTAATATATTAAATGATATGGGAAACACTGTCAAATTAAGTAATTTTAATTTTCTTTACATTAGAGTTATATGTATGAATAAATTATGCATATATTGAGTATATATGTATTCTCTACATATGTATTATTTCAAAATAACTTAAATAATTTTAATTTAAATTCTGTGATGTAATATTTATCAAATGTGTTGCAGATTAAGTTAAACTGGTATATGTCACAGATGCAGCCAAATTTCTTTGTCAGTTTTAAATTCTTGTCAGATTTTTACTCTGGTTGATTCAAATCTTATTCTCCATGGTTAATTGCTTTATTTATTTATTTATTTATTTTTTGGAGAGGTTTTTGCTATAGGGCGTATGCACTCACCAGACAGACAGAGAGACAGAAAGTGAGAAATCACCCCCCAGGGGGGATGGCCACGCCGCAATCCCTTCTCCTCTATTCTCCTCTCGGGATCTTGGGCACACACGCACATGCGCCCGGCGTGAGTTTAAGCCACCGGGTCCAGGACTTGAACTGCGGTCGACTATGTGGGAGTCCAGCGACATAGCCATTATGCTAACTGCTGGTCCCTCCATGGTTAATTGCTTTATGCCTTTCTAAAAGTTTCTTTTTGCAAAGGCACTCATCCTTTTAACTTGCTTCACCACTTCATATAGTATTTCTTAGGAATTGTTGTGTCAATAATCATGCTTACATTCATATTCATACTAGCCTGGTGAATCATCCCAAGAGAACTCTGTGCTACAGCCATCCAGCTTCACAGACTCAAATTAGAAAATAAATGGAGATGTAGGGAGCAGCTGGATCTGAGCAATACAGTAATGGCCTTTAAATACATGCAGAAATGCGTTCTTTGTCTGATGCTGCAAGGCTACTGAAGACATTAACAAAAGACTGTGCATTCTGTCTCTGTATGGAGACTGCAAGGCAGTGACAGTTAAAGGAAACTATGTGGGGAACCAGCGTGACCATACCACCTGGGGGGTGATTTCTCACTTTCTGTCTCTATGTCTCTCTGTCTGGGTTGGGCCAACACAGGAGCCCCATAACAAAAACCCCCCCCCCCCCCAAAAAAAAAGGAAACTATGTGTTAGCCAGAGAAGGCCCAAGAAGATAAAAGAAAACTCATAGAATTGCAAGGTGCCAGAGGTTTCCGCATCTTCAGTCGATTATCATCTGAAAACAACTGGCTTTGCATTTCACTTCCTCCTTCCCCCTTTTTTTCCCTATGAAACAATAAGCCTCAGAATGGCTCATGGCCATGACTACCTCCATCAGAGGAATCTGGGCAGCCTGATCCTTGCGTTTTTCTATTTGTGTGTCTGTGTGTGTTTATTTCTCTGTTTATTTCTAACCACAGCCACTTTCTCTCAGAAAACGCATTCAACTGTGCAGGTCATGGCAGGGCAGTCATAGTGTCACAAGTTCCAAACATAATCTAGGGATGTGAGTGTGCCCTCATATGTAGGCCTGCCAATACCAGGCCCAAGTCTTACAGTGGGCAGATTGAGCCCAGGCAGTAGGGGTCACTGGGTAGAAAGGTTATTGCAGGTTTCCATAACCTCAAGAGGTGGGGTTCACTCATGGGATGAGGCATCCCAAGAAAAGTCCTGAGTTTCCCAGTAGGTGGTTTGAGCCCAGGTAGCAGGGAGTACCAGGCAGTCAGAATGTCACAAATTGTAAAGATTCCACAGGACTTATGGGTACACACATGAGAAAAGGCCTGCCAAGTCCAGGCCCAAGTGTTCAGATGGGTGAGTTCATCCCAGGTAGCAAGCAACACTGGATAGATGTAGTGCT